TTCCTACAGAAGAGTGCTGGCCATCAGGGGAATTCAGGGCAGCACGAGAGAGATGGAGGACTGGAGGCCAGTACATCTTAGGAGGACTCCAGGGAAGGCTGGAGCTGGAATTCCTCACCCCACAGCACCAGGGCACAGTGCGCTTTGGGAAAACACAGGCCTCCTGGTTTACAAGGCCAGTGGCTCCAATGGTGAACATGACTCAATGACTCAATCTCTGGCACAATGAAGCAGGCCTCACACTAGACTCAGATGCTTTACTTGATAGTTTAGGTCTGAGTCACCAGCTAGAATGACAGCCATCTGAGGTCAAGAATGGGGGCAGATAAGTCACCCCAGCACCTCTGCCTAGCAGGGTGTCCCCAGGACAGCGGGCATCACAGTCAGCGTTTGTAGACATTATTTTTAGCAACATTTTTTAATGTGATGGATGTGCACCCCAGCACAGTTCAAATGACACAGCAAAATACACCCTCATCTCTGCAACAATAAATACAAACCTGTATTTATGATGGAGGCTGTTACAACCGTCATTACTATGATGACTTCTAAATTATACATGGAAGTGATCTGAGTTTTCATGAGATGCGGGCAGTTGAAATTAATTGCACGTGAAGTTAGCATTTAAGGAAATGGAACCATTCTGGGCAGTCATGAAAAGAATGAGGATTATACAAGCAGCAGACAGAGAGGCTCATTTCCCCAACATTCTCCCAGTGGACATTCTGGCTATCGACTGGATCCTGAGCCCCACAAGGAGAGAGAGCTGTTTCCATGTAGGAAGCCCCATGCCTCATCCTCTCTATCAGTTACCTGTTTTCTCTTCTTTTTTAAGATTTATTTTTATTATATGTATGTTTGTGCCACTTGTGTGGATGCTGAGGAGGTCAGAAGAGGTATCAGATCCCCAGGAGCTGGAGCTGCAGGCAGTTGTGAGCTGCCTGATGTGGGTGCTGGGAACTGAACTCTGAAAGAGTGGGAAACACTCCCAACTGCTGAGCCATCTCTCCAGTCCCCAGGTTGCCAGTTTTCTGATCAATGAAAATGAAGACAGAACATTGAGGTAGTCGTGAGGGGGGGCGGAGACTTCAGAGAGGAGGGCCGGCACAGAGGAGTGGGGATGTGCTTCCTTTCCACATCTTCAGTTTCCTTGCAGGGGGCACGGCCACCACACTTTTCCCACGATCTCATTGGGTGGTCAAACAACCCCAGGGTGGACTGGGCAGGTGGTACCAGCCTCATGGTAATGAAGGGATCTGAGGTTGTAAGGGACCGCCGCACATCCAGAAATGCAGACTCTACCAAGGCTGTGCCCATCATTTGTACATGTGCCCCTGGATGAAGCAGGGGACAGTGTCCTTGAAACAAAGCTCTGAAAGCAACACCAGAAACAAACTTCTTCAAAGATAGGACCCAGCACAAGGGGAACTCTCTTTCCCCGACATGGGATATGTCCTTTAAGGAAAAGCAGATACTGAGCATCTTGGGGAAGGACTGAGGATGGGTGAAGCTCCGTGTCCTTGGCAAAAGGGTGCCAATGCCAGTCAGCAACACCCCTTTATCCCTGCTTCCCACTGCTCAAACTACAGACCCTTCCTGATATAAGAGCAGTAGGTGTGTTGGCTGCTGGATGGAAGGGACCTGGGTTTTGAGCTGTGCCCTACTCTCATTAGTGACTAATCTCGAAGTATATGGCCTAAGACTCTCTCTGTGCCTCAGTTCCCCAACCTGTCAGTGCAAGAAGAGTTGAAATCAAGCACTTGAATGCTCATAGGCAGCTAGCACAGTCAACACTCCAACAAAGTGGTAATGGCTGTGCTTATGTCCAGATGAACCACGCTGCACTGAACAGTGTCATGGTAACCCAACCCTTGTGGTACACGGAAACGAAACCTGTCTTTCCCAACTCCACTGTAACCTAACAGAGGGAATCCCTCACCTTCATTCTTTCCTGGGATACCACGCCCTAATGGGGCCTAGCTGCTGCCCAGAGCCATGCAGAGGAAGCTGTTTGGGCTTTGGGAAGCCCTAGTCGTCTGAGCACACGGCTTGTTCATCATCTCTCTTAAGCTGGCCCCTTCCTCAGAAACCCCAAGTTTGCAAGCTCCTCTCAGACACCAAGTTATCCCATTCTTACGTTCAGAGTGGATAAAAACCAAAGCCATGAGGTACGTCCACCCCCTTGTGTCATTCTCTTAGAAACTGTCCCGTTTAGCCATGGAGAGCCAGGAGAGAGACGTGAACATGAAGGGACCAGGCAAACAAGGGGAGAAAGTCCTTTATGGGCACAGACCTCCATGGCCTGCTCCTTCCTTGTCAGGTGGAGGCGGAGTCGTGGACATCAGTGCTCAGTCAGGATGCAAGGCACGGGCAGGCTGCTGTCTGGGCTACAGGGAATCCTGAGATCAAGGGTTACGGTTCTGGGCTTGCTCTCTTCTAACCTAGTCACATAAAACTTCATCTTCTACTCTTGTATGTAATTTTGTCCTCTGTTACCAGGATGGCGACATGGACAGTCTATAATGCTGGTAACAGGATTGCTTCAAGAGCCCACTCTGGAGAGGGACATAAAGGCACAAAACAGCAGGACAAGATATCCACGGTCTAACAAAAACAAAAACCCCTTAGAAACAAGAACTCTGACCCCTGTCAGATAAGCTCAGATGAGGGGACACAGCAGGGGATCAGAGCTCAAATCGCTAACTCAGCTGTCTGAAGTGAAGGCCAGGACCATCTGTGGTCTCTTTTCTGGAAAACACAGGGTGGGCAATTATCAGCTACGTGTCAAAGGTCACCAAACTCCTCAAGAATTCATTCCGGCAAGGTTAAATTAAGGTTGCACTGTAAACCAAGGCTTTCCATCTTTATTTTTTATTGACTTCCACTATTTTCATTTCTGGTGGGGCTGCAGTGGGGTCCCTAAGTGGGTCTGCAGCCACTTGGCAGGCTTTGCCACTTAGAAATGGCATTCCTGCGCCTCTGACGTAATCTAGCTTTGAGTAATTAGCGCCTGCAGAAACAGGAATGATAAAAGCCAGCCCTGCCCATTTTTTTCTCTTTTTGAGTAAGAGACACAAACATGTTTATCAGTGTGTAGGTTTCAGCGGCCTCTGTAAGGTTAGAGCAAAGTTCATCTCACAACAGTGCCTTGGAAGAACAGTAATATTTTGTCTACTTTCATTTAACTTAAATATTAAATGGAAAAGTTTTATGCAATGCCCATTTTAACATTTATAACTAAAAATCAGTTCACATGGGTGAAATCATTTGGTTAATGTTTAGCGAGCATCTCAACCTCAGGCTGGACATGAACAGAGGATTTGCCCCTTGTCTGAAGGGACTTACAGCCCAGCAGTATGGAGTGTGTTCAGTGTAGTGGATCCAAGAGCCTGGAGACCACCAGCTTGCACCCAGTGTGGCCTCTCCCAGCTTTAGGTAACAAACCAGTAGACTGTCTGGAGATGTATCACATACTTGACTCCATCTGCGTTGTGTCTAGAGTCAGCAGTCCAGGTGTTAAGTGTCCAAAGATGTCAGGAAGTGTGAAAAGAGATGGGGACAACCTGACAGGCCAGTAGCCTGGGGGTTATCTGCATTCTACATGCCATTTGCAGTGAACAGGATTGCAAACTCAAGCCACTGGACTTGGGGGGATGGCTCAGTGGCTAAGAGTTGCTGCAGAAACATGAGGACCAGAGTTCAAATCCCCACCATTCATGTAAAAAGCCAGGCATGACCAACTGAGTGTCTGAAATTCAAGAGCTTAAGGCAGAGTGACAGAAAAGATACCATTCTCCTCCGGCCTCTAGGCACACATAGGTGTGCCCACCCCTCAACAGATGCACATATATCACACACACACACATACACTACACTCACACATGCATACACACACCCAAATAAAAAAGCATTCACACACAAAAAAACCCAAATATACAGAAAACAAATTAAAAAAAACAAATCAGTGAACACTTGTTCAGGGCAGGAACTGGGTTAAGCTTTTTACCTGTATTGTTAGTTTACCTTCCTAACAGCCCTTTAAAGTTATCATTATGTTATATGGGGAAAATGAGGCTTAGAGATCAATGAAATCAAAACCTTGGGGTCCCAAGCATCTAGATTTCTTTTCCTGAGCGTCTCATGTACCCAACCCTGGTCTTAAACTTAGTATATAGCAGAGGGTAACCTTGAAATTCTGATCTACCTGCCTCAACATCCCAAGGGCTGGGATTACAGAAGTGTGCCACCGTACCTGATTTATGTAGTACTGGGATTGAACCCAGAGCTTCATGCATGCCAGGCCAGCACCTGCCAACAGAGCCTCATCTTCAGCCCCAGAACTGGATCTTTTTTCATTCCAGACCGAATGCTCTGAGGTCCAAACCATCCCTCTATAACAATCGGTAGCTGAATGTCTACCCAGGGCCCCTGTGTTTCCCATTCCAGCTGCCAAAGATTCCATCGATTCTAGCCCCAATACTTTCTTTACAAAATGGGCCAATTCTCAACAGCATCTACAGTGCCTTACTGTGACACCCTTAGCACTGTCGAGTACTCAAGTCTGGGTTCAAACGTGATGAGCACAGGCCCAGTACCAAACAGAGATCAGTTTTGGTTGCTAACTACACCATTAGATTAGCACTGGACTCTGGAGCAGTATACAATCAGATTAACAGTTTTGAAATGGTTAACACTTTTGGATCTTTGTAAATATCTGACAGTGAAGGTCAAAACATGGAGGGAGATGGCCCAAGAGATAGGCACGCAGGATGGTGATAGGCACGTGTACATGGGTCTCAAAGGCAGACTCCAAGGGCCTCTGCACCCACCATTCAGAGTGGACCTAGACAGAAACACCAGCAAGCCACATGACAGATGTGACCCTAGGTGTACCCACCAGAACACCAGACACCATCTTGTGCTCCACTCCCTGGCTCAGCAGAGGCCTGTAAAATTAACACAGAAATTTGAAAATCATTGACAGAAAATATCCCCAACTGTTTGATTGTATAAATAGTTTATTTCTGTTCACAGCATCATATATGCATTATAAAAGGGAATGGAAACAAGGAGAGTGACTGAGACAGAATTACAGCAGAACAGAAAACCGAAGCCAGGGGACACGGTCCCAACACCACAACAGAGTTTGTGAAGAGAATTGTTCTAAGACAAAACCGGCCTCCCTGTGTCTATCAGAAACCATCTCGAACCTCACTTGGGGAGGCCAAATTCATCTATAGGAACCCAAAGGGCAGAGGTATCACCAGTCCCTGCTGGCATGTTATGGTGACCCCCTTGGGCACCACTCCATGGTGATTTTCTCTGGGTTCGCTCTTGTCACAGATGAAATGGGTTGGTAGTAGGTCAAACAGTACAGAAATCAGCTGGGACTATTTGCTGATACACCACAAGGGCTTGACTTTTACTGCACAACTATTAACAGTCAACTGCACCCTTAAGTATTGATAATGGAAAAGAAAACACAAAACCATCCCAAACTATGGTTGAAGTGACCTGGAACTCAGGCATTGTCAACACGGGAGGGTTACAGTATTTGGCATCTGCATGTCACAAAATAAATATATTACTCTTTCAATAGTGTGGAACTACCAAAATGTCAAAGTGCTTAAGAAAGTGTGAAGAAAATAAAGGAAGATGGATTTTTTAAAATAATCCTATACAGAATCTTCAGACCATGGGACCAGCCCATGGAGAAGTACGTGAATCCGCTATCGCTGAGCAGACAGATGTCGCAGGCTCCTTGTCCCTGCTTAGCTCTACTTTCTCTACTGAGCATCTACAAAAAGATCAGCATTGGAGGGCTACCAAACACAGGCGAGGGAAAGGAGCAGAGCATAGGTGCTAGAGCCTGGCTTTAAAAAAACCAGGATTGGGTTTCAAGCAGCAAGTCAGGCTTTCTGCCTCTGGCTCTTAAGTAGACTCCTAGGTATGAAGGACAAAAGCGATGGGCTCAGATCATGGCCAACTCTGCTCACTCCTGGCCGTGGCCTCCTCTGCAAAGCAATGTGGTATCATTGAGGGTACTGAAATTCTACCTGAAAACATGGTGATTCAGAGAGGAAATTAAAAATACAACAATAACAAAAAACCAAACAGTTGTTAATTTCTCTTTTGATACTGTGTTTCTGGATAAATGACAGATTCTACAAGCCAAGACTCAGTACCAATTATAAAGGATATTTTTTAAATTACATTATTAAAAATATGTATTTGTCTTTCACTTTATCTATTTTCCAAAGCCTCTTTCAAGTAAACTGTGAAGTGCCTGAGTTCTGGTGAGCATGACGTCACTCGCTAGCTTCCTTTGATCTCAAGCACTTATTGTTTGCGTTTGCCCAAAGTGCTAGCTGGCTCCGGTTCCCACAAGGATGAATTCCAAAGGACTTCATCCTGCAGGCTTTCCCTCTGCTTTAAATCCATGCAAACGAGGTCAGCTTTTGCAACAAGGTGGGGTTTTATTTTCTGGTGCATGACATCAAATACTCTAACAAGACATTTTGAATGAAATACCAAAAGCGGATAGGTCACAATGAACCAACTCAGAAATCTGAACATGTCGCCCCTTGCTGTGTCAAGGGACATGAAAAGGGCAAAGCTGTCTTTTCCTAAGGTGAATATTTCTAAGGTGAATATTCATTTGTTAAAGTGTTCTTAAAACATGTCTGAAAACCATCACCACGCGGTATTACCAGACAGCCCTTGCAAGAATACCATTTTGCAATTCAGCACACATCTGTAAGCTGGTATGCTCATTCAAACCAATCAGTAGGCTAAGAGAATTTAAAATTCCACACATATGGGTCTAGTATTTATGCTGACTATACAGTATGGAGGGAGGTCCCTGTATACACACACGCACACGCACACCATTAATGCCAAAAACCTTCCCCTTTAAACACCTGTTCTGCCACCACCTCCAACAGCTTTCTGGTTTTCTTTTATTGGGCTCTTTATTCGGTAATGACCTACACATGGACAGGATAAGGCCCAGGCCGTCTGGAAGAGGTCTCATTCCAGGCTGAAAAGCAGTTCTCAACAAAACCGGTCTTCAAGTCACCGCCCCCCCCTGGAAAGGGGCGTCTTCCAGGCCATTCCCAGCCAGGGCCAGTAGCACAGTGCGCCCGGGGCCTCCGGCTGCCGTTTGCTCCCAGGCAGTCTTCTGGATGGCCCCAACCACCACCTCCTTTGGGCCCAGAGAAAGACAAATGAAATTTCAACAGGGGCCTGCCCTGTGATATAAAATCATTCAGCTTCCACAGCCCTGGAGTGCAAGAAGCGGTCGCCCCACCCCCAGTGCCTATCCGCACCCACGATGGTTACCCCCCAGGGTTCTGGGACCTGCATACCTCAGGGAACTCATTCGTGATCCCCCCCACCCCAGCGGGGCAGGGTAGTCGAACTTCTGAAGCAAGAAGAAATCGCTTTTGTCTCTCTGACATCCGAGCCTTCCACCTGGGGCCAGAGGGGGCACAGCAGGACCCTCGCGTCTGCACCCCCGTTCCCCAAGGGTCCCCCTCCCACCCCAGCGTTTAGACAAAAGGTCCCCGGAGACTGGGGTGGGGGGGGTGCGGCAGGGGGACAGCAGGATGGTCAAGCAGCCTCCGCACCCGGGTTAAGTCCCCCAAGTCCTGCATCTGGGTTTGGAGATTGCGTTCTTAAAAAAATCGAAGCTTCGCTTTGGTTCGCTCTTTGTTCGCGGGCGCGGGTTCTCGCTCTCCCACGATCCATCCATTCATTCACTCCCCGGCTGGCTCGCTCCGCCTCGCTCCCGCTCGCAGCCTCGGGCGCATTACCGCTTCTTCTTCTGCTTGAGGGATTTCCTGCGTTTCAGGATCATCTCGTAGAGCTTGTCCATGCCCTCGGTGAGGCCCTCGCCGATGATGGCGCACGCCGGCTGGACGTGGTAGGTGGTGGCCGGGATGAGCTCGTGCAAGGCCAGCTGCTTCTCGATCTCCGCCACCGGCAGCGACTTGGGCAGGTCCTGCTTGTTGGCGATGACCAGCAGCGGCGTGCCCTGGTTCTCGGCGAACTTGGTCACCTTGTGCAGCTCCGTCTTGGCCTCCTCCAGCCGGTCCACGTCCACCGAGTCCACCACGTAGATGATGCCGTCCGTGCAGCGGCTGTAAGACTTCCACAGCGGCCGCAGCTTCTCCTGGCCGCCCACGTCCCAGAAGTGGCAGCTGATGCCCTTGGCGGTGCCATTGCTGAGCTTGATCTTCTCGGTGTTGAAGCCGATGGTGGGCACGGTGTTCACGAACTCATTGAACTTGAGCCGGTAGAGCACCGTGGTCTTGCCGGCGGAGTCCAAGCCCAGCATGACGATGTGCAGAGACTGGAAGGCCGAGATGTTGGAGGAGATGTTGCCCATGGCTCCTCGCTGCAGCGCCGGCCACTGCGGCTGCGGCAGGAGGGCGCCGCCCCCGGAGCGGTCACCGACCCGCCGCGGCCCCGGCGCACCTGGGCCCCG